CCTAAGATCTTGAACCATAAGGAATGTTGTAGGAAGGCCATCTTGTTAGGCTTCCTTGACACATGTTGTGTTGATTAGATAACTTGGTGTGTATGGATTTAGTGCCAAGAAGTCTAGTGTGGTTGAACCTTTGTAGTTCAGGAATGTTTTGGATATTGTGAAACCAAGTTATCTAATCAACACAACATGTGTCAAGGAAGCCTAACAAGATGGCCTTCCTACAAGATTCCTTATGGTTCAAGGTCTTAGGTAGTCGAGGATGCTAAATAACTAAAACATGGTTCGAGGCATATGGGTATTTAAAAACCAGTGCATGAGTAAATGACAGTTTTCTCCCAAGTTTATAAATGCCTTCAAGGCACAATGTTTTTCTCTTTAATAAAAAAAACTATTGACTTGGTATATTTACAAGCAACAATTAGATGATAGTATGGCAGTTTAGAATGATTTTTCATAAAGACTTAATGGAACTAGCAAGACTATGTGGTTTTCTTAAAACCATATTCATAAACTTAGGGTTTTTTTCAAATGCTTCAATATAATACATGCTTTATCTGCATAAATTATTTTACTGCATTCACCTTTAATTTCCTACCAGCCACAAAAACAAATCATAAAGACCATCTTATAATTTTATCCAAAATATATGTAAAGAATGGTTATCAAAATCTGACAAAATACTTCTTTTTGGCAAATATGGAGACTTTATCAAGAGATCATCATCACATGCATTATTTAAAATGATATTAATTTTTAGAAATTCATAAAATCATATTTTAAATTGATTTATTTATCTAATGCCTTCTATGTTCCTAAGATGTGTCAAAATCTTATTTCAGCTCAGTGAGCTCGAGAAAGTTCTATTTTATGTATATTTACTTCGCAATTTTGCTTTTTTGAAGGAACATCAGGGATAAAATAGGCTGTAGCTTTTTATTATCGATGTTCATGTCAAGAAGAAGCTCCTATTGTTCTTTTCTTCTCTTGGTGTAACTAAGAACGCCAGTATTTGGCATCATCGTTTAGGTCGTTGCAATCCCAAGTCTTCGAATAAATTATGGAAAGAGGGCTTATTTCCCTCTAATCTTTAGATTCAATCTTCGTTTATGTATCATGGATGTCAATTGGGTAAACATGTGAAACTTCCATTTATGATTCATCATAAAAGAGCTTTGCTCCCTTTCAATTAATTATTCTGATGTTTGCGGTTCCTCTCCAGAATCTTCTTTATCTAGTTCTTCATATTATATTACATATGTGGATGATTTTTCTCTTTTCACCTGGATATTCTTTCTTGAGAAGAAAACCAATATGTTTCACTTTTTTATGAAATTCTTAATCTTTGTTGAAAAACACTTCCAAAACCCTGTACTCTACTTTCATAGTAATGGAAGGGGAGAGTTTTCATCCCATAGCTTTATAACCTATGTGGAGAATAATGGAGTGGAACAACAAATATAATGTGCACTCATACCCGGCAAAATGGAGTAGTAGAGAGAAAACATAAGCATATCAATGAAGTTGCATTTTCAATGATGTTTATGAGCTGAGTTCCTAAATTTTTATGGATAGAAGAATTTCATAAAGCAGTTTATCCCATCACTAGGTTGCCTATAGATGTTCTACATTGGAAAATCACCTTAGCAAGTTGTACTTGGGAAGGACCCTGATTATACCACATTGCGCTCATTTGGATGTTTTGCTTATGTTAATATTGACAAGAGCCAGAGAAATAAGTTATTCCTAAAAGGTAGACATTTGTATTTTTGTAAAAGTATAATGATGAATACAAGGGATACAAGTGTTACAATCCTAGATTGAAACGAGTTCTTGTCTCGAGACATGTAACCTGCGTCATGGATTCATAGTCGACCCATGAATCAAGTGTAGATGAGACCATTTTTTGTTGATAAAGATGCAGATAGAAGTGGTGAGCAACACAGTCTTGAGTGGGAGATAATTGATGAAACTCCTCCAAGACCTGGAGAAAGAGTTTGAGGAATATATGGACTGGGATCTCGATGAAGATTCTCGTAAAAGTGGAGTCCCTCATAGATAAACCAAAGATATTATAGTATATCAAAGAATAATGCGTGATGGGCCACAAGAAGATAGTCTGAATGAAGATTCGTGTAGTCAAGACCCTCATAACATTGAAGACCCTCATATATCAGCCGAGGATATTATAGTATATCAAAGAAGAAGGCGTGAAGAGCAGCAAGAAGATAGGCCAGTCAAGAGAACACTTAATATTCACCCAGGTCTACCAAAAATGTAGCATCCCATTGATTGATGGGCAAGTTATAACGCCATTTGCAAGTTTTTATGTGTGCGATTTTTAAAATCAAAGAGCCTAGAACTTATCTTGAGTTAAGAAATGATAGGCAGATGATCGAGGCTATGGCAGAAGAGATTAAGGCTATGTACATCAACATGACTTGGAAGATAGTTCCTAGACCCGCAGATAAAAATGCAGCCAGTCGTAAGTGTAAAGTGAAGTACAAGTCAGATGGCAGTGTGGAAAGGTTTAAAGCAAGGCTGGTTGCAAAAGAGTTTAATCAACAACATGGACTTGATTATGATGAAATGTGTGAAGATAGTGATAATTCAAGTGGTTATTTCCCTTGCTTTAGCCTATTATTGGTGTCTTTTTCAGTTGGATGTTAAGAATGGCTTTTTTCATGGGAAGTTGGTTGAAGAGTTTGACATGGGACAATCAACAGGTTTTTATGAAGCAAATTCAGAGACTCATATTTGGAAGTTGAAAAGTTCAAACAAGCTCCAAAACGTGGTTTCAGTATTTTCATAATGCGTTAAAAGAGAGGGGTTTTATTAGGGCCACATCAGACCATTCATTGTTTATTTGTCACAAGAAGGAAGTCATTGTTCTTTTTGTTGATGACCTTATAATTACTAGGAATGCTATAGACCTGATTTATGGTTTCAAGAAATTTTTGCATGATAGATGTGTGATGAAAGACTTAAGTTAGTTTAGATACTTCTACGAATTGAACTAGATTGAAATGGGAATCACATTTGGTTATCTCAACAAAAGTATGCTCTAGACCTTGAAAAGGCAAATGCGATCAATCACAGGCCAATATCGTACACCAACTACTCTAAACAAACCATTAAGAATATTTGAACGACAACCTTTAGATAATCCAAAGAGATACATAAGTTTAGCACGGGCATTATAGAATGTCATCTCACCAGGCTCCCACTAACACTCACATGTGCCAATCTATGCATGCTCCCACTAACACTCACATGGAGGTGCTAAATAGAATAATCAGATATGTAAAGGAACAGTGAATCATAGGGTGTTCTATAATGAAACAACATGAATATTGCTTCTATAGTTGGGTACTCTGATGTAGACTAGGCCGGAGATTTGGATTCTACAAGATTAGTTTCACTTTATTGTGTCTTTCTTGGTAGAAATATAATTTCATGGAGGAGTAAGGGAAAAAAAAAAAAAAAACTGTTGTGAGGTCTAGTACTGAGGCTGAGTATAGAGTACTTGTAGGTGTAGTTTCTGAGATTTCATGGGTACGAAGTATTGTTTCATTTCATGGAACAAAAATATGCAAGTCAATAGCTTAGTGTGGTGACAAGAGTGCTCTAGCAATTTCAGCAAATCCAATATTTCATGATTGCACTCAACATATAGATTACCCCCTTGTTCGTGAGGAAATTGAAGCCAAGGAGATAGTTGCTTGCTTTATTGGGACCAAAAATCAAATAGCTAATATCTTCACAAATGGACTTGTAAAAGACAGAAATGAGTTCTTAAAGAACAAGTTGTTCATGTTCCAACTTGATGTACAACTTGAGGGGGAGTGTTAGAATGCAATGGACAGTTCTGTAATTTGTGTATAGTTTAAGTTGTTTATATTGTAATGTCATTAGCTGTAATTTATAAGAGCAAATCTGTCCTTACTCCAGATGTAAACTTGTGTATATTATAGTACAAGAATTAGGGCATTGCCCTGGTGTGTGTTTGTGTGTGTTTTCAAAGGTGTGCTTCTCTTCTTCTCTATGTTTTCCAGAACTTTCTTAGCTTCCCCTTGCATGTCACATGACAGTTTCATCAGTTTAGCCTCATGCGTGGGTCTTTTCGTAAACCATGAAGGCTTTGTACTCCAAGGATGCGGACAAATGCTGTGTATCTGTAATATACACATGCATAAATTGTGAAGTGATGCACATATCACTTTACAATTTGAAAAAGAGGCAAGCTGTTTTTGATGTGTGATTTCAGTATCTTGTGGGCTATAGATGAGTAATTACAACTTTGACCATTCACATGGTTTTTTGTACCTTTGTTGGGCCTGTTTTTCTATTCATCATGGGAACAGCTACATCTTTCTTTCCCATGTTAACATTGGTTCAACTTTCTTTGTCGTCCTTGCTTTGTTCATTATCTTATGGAATGAGGAAGAATCATTCTTTTGTATTAGTTGGGTGTTTGGAATAAGACATGATTTTATAAATGATACACATCATTGGGATGCATCATAATAATCTTTTTTGTTGTACACGCAGATCAACAATAGGAATGGGATCACCAGACTTTAAGGATAATATTACTCTTAATCTCAATTTAATTTACTTTTGAAGATTTGAACTCATGTTGCATGGATATCAAAGTACCCATTCTGTTATGAATGAATTCAAGCATATACCAGCATGTACTCGCATAAAAACTTGTTTTTGTTTTTGTAATTTTGTTATATATATTTACTTGAAAGAACTTTGAAAAACAGTAGTTATTAACTTGGCAGTGTTGATATGTTTTGTCACTCAAACCTGGATTACCACAAAACTATGCACAAAAGTAGGAAGTCCTTGTTCTCATAAAAAAGAAAAGAATTAAACTCTTTATTCAAACCATACTTTGGAGTATGGATTCTGCTTCATTGTTGCATATCAGCGAAATTAAAAGTTTCTGACTATACGTCCACATGCATTTTTTTGTTCTTCTATTAATATTGTAGGTGCTAAGAATGCTCGGGAGGTCATTGCATCTGTTCTATGTGATGCTTGTGATGATGGTGATCTTACCATTCCCCAAGCTGTTGATGCTGCCAAAGACCTCTTAAGGCGAAATGCATTAAGGTTTTACAAGATAGAAACAAAGGAAGAGTCTCTTGTTTCCAACAAATCAATGGCCCACAACATTCAGCCAATTTGCAAGGATTCTTCAGTCAGAGAAACTACATTTGTTCGCATTCTTTGGGTTGATACTTCTGGGCAATGTCGTTGCAGGGTGAGTTGTTTCTTAGTTAACATGATATACCTCATTATAGAATGCTCTGGGTATTAATTTTCTCATTGTATCTACCTAGCGATATGTCAATCTTTTATCACATTATGTCATCATTCATGTGCATAAATCTATATGGTGAAAAATAGTCTTTACATTCCTTTTGTGATGGAGATCTAAGCACAACAAGTAGCCATGAGTATCTTCTTTTGAAGTGACAGATTCCTCCTAATTTTCGCTCATATTTGGAGGATGAAAACCATCGAAGGGCTCCAAGAAGAGCAAGAAATAGTTTGGGTTTTCTGTTTTTGTTTTTTGAGGATAGTTCAGATTTGTTATTTATTTATTTCATTTTGGATCAGTTATGGACTTTTTAAATATTTTAATTAAAGTTAGCGAGATACTTATGTTAAGACCTTTTGGTCAAAGTTAATTATATGGACAAATGTTGCCAAAACAAGAATTTTTCAATATAAATAAGGGCATGGATGGGTTGGAGAGTCATTCATGTATTCTTCTTTAAGAAAAGAAAGACTTTGTCTTGTAAAAGATGCCTAAGGCTTGAGCCGTAAGTGGGAGAAAGCCTTAGAGTTTTTCCAAAATTGCTTGTGTCAAGGTGCTTATTGCTTTTTCTATGTTCTTCAAGTTCTCCTACATCAAGTGGTATCAGAGCTCGCGATCTATACGGAAGTTATTGTAGCAAGTATGGAAGTTATTGTAGCACGTACGGATTTATTGTAGCACTACTACTTTTTGGTGCCCTAGGCCAACAACCAAGAGGGGAAATTATAGTGGGGTCTAGGGTTTGCTGATTTTGCCAAAGTTTTGCCAAAACAACCTAGATCTTGTTGATTTTAACAATTTTTGTTGATTATTTGCCTAGGATTTGTGATTTCAGTGAACCCATGGCAACAAGAAGGGGCTGTAGATGGTGGATTTTCATGGATCGCTCTGTGATCTCAGAGATGAGAGAATTGAGGAACTTGAAAGATAGGTTCAATAGCTAATACAACAATTCTCAACCCTCAATAATGGGCAAGACGGTGATCTTTCAGCCCAAGAGGATCTCGAATACAACCCTTTTCACCATCGGTCTCCGCATGTGGAATCGAATGACGAGGATAGCGATCGGAGACCTAGACATGGAGTGCGTCATTCTAAGGATGTCGATTTGAAGGTAGATATACGTGATTTTGACGGAAAGCCTCAACCAGATGAGTTTATAGATTGGTTAAATACAGTAGAACGGGTTTTTTATTATAAGTAGGTACCTAAAAATAAAAAGGCAGAAATTATTTCCATAAAATTAAAAAGGGTGCTTTGGCATGGTGGGAACTACTTAGGGCTAGAATAGAGAAGATGGAAAAGCCCAAAATTAATACATGGGTGAAGATGAAAAAGAAATTAAAAGAAAAACACCTGCTTGAAAATTATTTGCAATCCTTCTATCGTTTTTTTGGGTAAGTAGCAATCCTTCTATCACAAGATGAATAATCTTCATCAAGGAGAAAAGAGTGTAGAGGAGTATACCGATGAATTTTATGAGTTGATGGCTTGCAGTAATGTGGTTCAAAGGGTAGAACAGTCCCTAGTTGCTATATTGGTGCGCTAAGATCGTCTATACAAGATGTGGTAGTTTACAGCGGTGTTGAACCTTAGATGAGGCCTACTATCTTGCAGTTAAGGTTGAAGCTCAGCCAATGTTCAAAATGTCGGCCGCTCGACTGCCTAGGCGGCTATTTTAAAAGAACGCCTAGGCCTTCTTAAGGTGGGACTAATTAGGCACCAGAACTAAGCGGCCGCCTAGGTGGGGCAAACAGGACATTTTACCCCCTTAAATGGGGGGATAAGGAGGGCCATTTTTTCCCCTCAAAACAAATTTAAACAAATTTAGTGAACTTTGGAGAGAGAAATAACTTAAAAAAACCTAGATTTGAAGATATTTTGAGAGATCTAATTTTCTTTTGAAATCCTCAAATGGTCACGATATTAAAGGATATTCAACCCTAATCTTTTTGAGGCTTATAGGGGTTGTAAAAGAGGAGATTTGGGAACCCAAACATTTTGGTCTGGCCTGAAATTGAAATTGAGTCCACTTCAAGAAGGTTTGACCTGTGCTTCCGGCAACTTAACAATATATTACATACAAAACTAACTTATTAAATAATAAAACAAATAGTTTATATATCATAAACTGGGGGCAGGTGTGGGGGATCCGAATTAAAAAAAAAAAACAATCACCGGTTTTTTGGGTCTGGGCGCTCGCCTCGGCGATCCAGCCCCCTCACTGCCTAAACGGCTGCCTCTGCCTTATTGAACATTGAGCTCAGCTGAGGCGTCCATCATCAAGGTGACCTGCAAGCCAGGGTAGCTCAAGTGGTCGTGGAAGCGAATTTAAGGGAAAAGGTGGAAATTTTGTGGGTGGACAGTCCTCACAGCCTGCTGGTCTGTCCAAGTAGCAGGAAAGTGGGATGTTGGGGCTAGTTCTAGTCGCCCAAATTGCCCAAACGGCAGCATCATAAAATGCTTTAAGTGTTCAGGGATTAGGCACGTCTCTTATCAGTGCTAGAATAGAAAATTTGTGGCTCTTGCTGAGGACGTTTTTAAGGAGGAATCTGTCGCTCCAAATGAAGCTCGTGGTTACTTGTTTAGCGTAGGTCTCCATCATTCTCCTTGGGTTTAGGCCGCCTAGCGCCTATGCGAGCCCAGGTGGGATAATAAGGGTTGGATATGTCTAATCCTTAGTTGTTGGAGGCAGGAGCTTGATCGGTTCGGGGAACGCCGAACCGCGATAGGGTGGAAGCTCCCTGGGGCTGGTATCGGTGCCCATACATTCAACAACTGAAAGAGCTAGCATACCTAGGAGCGAGATCCCATGTCGCTGGGATCAAGGCTATTGACATAGACGGATCTAAGCTCCACTATGCATAAAACGAGATAAATTGATAGTATATGATAAAGTTAGGATCCAACAAATGCCTGCTCAATCCATTATCATATACGTTAGTTTCTTACCAGTGCCATAGCTATCATGCTTCAATTTATTACAATGACATAGTTTAATAACACCATAAATGAGCTTGTTATAACATGAAACTGTAGTTTTTTAATACCATAGTTCCATAGTTCTAGTATACCACGAAGTGATATGCACCATAGTTTAATAGATTCTAAAAAAATAAATCTAAAATACCAAGGAGAGGACCTGTCGTTCAATTAATAATATAGCTCCTCTCGTTGGAGAGATCCTACAAGCATGTAGATCGAGATCCATTCTATAGGAAGTGAGATCCCTATTTCTCTAAACCCAGCTCCCTATAAGATCCCTTAGAGGAACCGCGGGATCGAGTTTCAAAGGTAGGACCGTGGCCTTGCTCACAAGGTTCCTGCAACTATGGTATGATCTAATTGTTTTAGGTCCAGATTTTGTTTAAACACTTAAAAATTTATACCATTAGTTCATAGTCCATACACAGTAAAAAAATGCATATTGAGGTGAGGTCCAAAGTATTTGAATTTTGGACAATAAGTTAATAACACATTAAGTAATATGTGAAAATATAATCCTACATTCAAGATTGTCAAATTCAGTCATCAACTCATCATTAGGAAAAGAAAAGAAATACCACATGGTCCCAATACACTTTTGAGTCTATACGTCATAGTCCATATATGCACATAAGAGGAGGAAAAGAAAAAAGAAAGAAATATATACTTGAAGACTTAAAGAGTCTTCAATCATCATAAAAAAAGTAGGGTCAGCTGCATTGTATGTTTTGGAGTCTAGCCCATCATGATCAAAATCGCTTCTTTATTTAGATTGCATAAGAACCATCCCCCCTCCTGTGTCGCTTCCCCCCCTCTTTTTCCTCCCTTAATTTACAAAGAAAAATATGAAAATGCCCATTCCATGCTAGCATAGTGATTGTCAAGGCACTCCATCCATGTAGAAACTGTGATCCACAGTTATCTTCTCATGCAAACCCAACGAAGCCTATGACCCACAATCATGCACAGGGGCTCATGATTGGCACCTCAATATCGAAGATTGGTGGTGAATCCCAATCTACATATTGTTGACTTTCTTTGCAATCTGTGTCAAAATAAAAAATTTCATCCTTCATATCGAATACCCTAGAGTGATGTTCCCCACTTCTAGGTCTTCTATGACTATCCTTATCTCTCGACTCCCCACGCGGAGGACAAAAGTGAAAAGGTTTGAACTTAAGATCCTCTTGGGCTGAAAGATCACTGTCTTGCCCATTATTGAGGCTTGCAAATTGCTGCACCAACTGCTGAACTTGCCTTTTAAGTTTCTCAATTTTGTTATCTATGGGATCATGGAGCGTATCTACAAAAATCCCCCTTCTACAGCCCCTTCTCGCTGCCATGGTTCACTGAAATCACAAACCCTAGGCAAATAATCAACAAAATTTGCTGAAATCAGCAAGATCTAGGTTGTTTGGGACAAATTTTGGCCTTAATCAACAAACCCTAGACCCCACTATAACTTCCCCTCTTTGTTGTTGACCTAGGGCACCAAAAAAAGTGTTGCTATAGTAACTTCCATACTGCTACATTAATTTTTGTGTGGATCACATGATCTGATACCAATTGATGTAGGAGAACTTGAAGAAATATAGAAATTCAGCATGAAAGCACCTTGACACAAGCACTTTGGAGAAACCCTCGGGTTTTCTCCCACCTAGGCCTTAAGATTTAGGCTTCTTTTACAAGATAGTCTTTCTTTTCTTGAAGAGGAATACATGAATGACTCTCCAGTCCATCCATGTCCTTATTTATATTGAAAAGTTATTGTTTTGAACAATATTTGTCCATACAACTAACTTTTGATCAAAACGGTCATAACTGAAGTATAACTTGAAACTAAATTTCCTAACTTCAATTAAAATATCTAAAAGGTCCCTAGAATTCCTAGAAACTAAAAAACCCTGGAATTCTAGGGACGTTTTAGATATTTTAATTGAAGTTAGGGAGTTTAGTTTCAAGTTATACTTAAGTTAAGAGCTTTTGGTCAAAAGTTAGTTGCATGGACAAATATTGTCCAAAACAATAATTTTTCAATATAAATAAGGGCATGGATAGGCTGAAGAGTCATTCATGTATTCTTCTTTAAGAAAAGAAAGACTTTGTCTTGTTAAAGAATCCTAAGGCTTGAGGCTTAGGTGGGAGAAAACCCTAGGTTAGGTGGGAAAAAAAGTAGTGATATAGTAACTTCCGTATTGCTACAGTAATTTTTGTGTGTATCGTGGGCTCTGATACCAATTGATGTAGGAGAACTTGAAGAAACATAGATATTCTACAAAAAAGCACCTTGACACATTCACTTTTGGAGAAACCCTAGGGTTTTCTCCTACCTAGGCCTCAAGCCTTGGGCTTCTTTTTCAAGACAAAGTCTTTATTTTCTTAGAGGAATACATGAATGACTCTCCAGCCCATCCATGCCCTTATTTATATTGAAAAATTATTGTTTTTGACAGATTTTTTCCATACAACTAACTTTTGACCAAAAGGTCGTAACTTACGTACAACTTGAAACTAAAATCCCTAACTTCAATTAAAATATTTAAATAGAATTCCTAGAAACTAGAAAACCCTAGAACTAAACCCTAAAACTAAAATCAAAATATACATTTTTTAAAATTGGATAGAAATTGAAAATAGGTGTAACTTTTCCCTCCATCACCAACCCTAGGTCAGTCAACCAATATACACTAACACTGAAGTGTACAATTCACTATATTTATTATTGTTACATGGTTTCACTGCTTTAAAGGCCACATACCCCAAGATAGACCTTAAGATGCCTTGGACTTTGACTAGAGCATTTCATGATACCATTTGCTGATAAGAATTGACATATGTCTTTCAAAGTCTAGTCAAGATATTCTATAAATAAGAAATGAACACATTTATGAATTCTTTCTACTTGGAATGGTGATATTCATGTTATTATGGTTTGTTCACTTGCAATATAAAGGTGTCTAATCCATTCTTTATGTAGTTTTAGTTGAATTAGTTTAATATAGTTTCTTTTTATTATTATTGGTTTTGTTTGTTTTGTGACTATCAAGTTCTTTGTGTGTTTATGTTTGCAATGGCACAAGAATATGCTATATTTATGAAGTGGGCCATTACATTGATTTAGGTTGTTCCAGGGAAACGCTTTTATCAAGTTACAAAAGATCATGGTGTGGGTCTAACATTTGCTTCAATGGGTATGACATCATTCTCTGATGGGCCGGCTAAAGGTACTAATTTGACTGGCGTGGGTGAGATACGGATTATGCCAGATACCACAACTAAATGCAGGATTCCATGGTATTGACACTTGTTTGTTACTCTAATTATTTATTTTTAACTTCAATCTTCTCTTGGGCCCTGTTTGATTCCCTGGAGATGGGTGTCCTGGGAAAATGCCTCTCTTGGAATTGATCTCTCCTAGAATTGGTGTCTCCTGGAATACAGGTGTCTGTTCTTTAGATAGCATTTGATAAAAGACCTGGAAGATACTTGTCCATTGTTTGGATCATATTAATATTATTGTTCTGTAATCATCATAGACTTAGGATTCATGAAAAGATGTATCAAAGTTTACATTGGCTGCCCTACGTAACAACCCTTCTCCTTTATCGGGGATTGGGACCGGCATGACCAGCTTGGACTAACCATGGCGAAGCACAATTTTGTGATATTATAGTACAATATTATGATATAATATTACACAATATTATAATATTATGCTCTATATTATACTAATAATAACATATATAATATTATAATATATAATATTGTAATATAATATTATAATATAATATATTGTATGTTATAATAATATTATAAGATATATAATTAGTGTATATAATTAATATATTAATTATTATATATTAAATATATTATAATATAGGTTAATAATTAAAGGGAAGAGTTTATATAAGGTTGCAACCTTAAATGTAGAATTACATATGCACCTCAAAAATCTATCGGAAAGGTTGTTTTAATGTTGAAAAACCCTCTATTTATGAATATAAAAAATGGTGCATCTTGCAACACATTATCTTGACCGTCCATTTTCAAGATTTTCATATGTTTATGGATTTCCTTGATTTTAACTATTTTTGGAATTTAAATTTTTCTAATTAGATATGAAAATAGATTTTAAGATAATCCTAAGAATTTTTTACAACAGAATTACATGTTATGATAAAATTTAGAGGTGCTCCTTAATTGGATTGTTTAAGGTTACAACCTTATAGAAACCGCACCGCACCCCATAATTAAATTATTTACTATAATTTGTAGATATATATATATATATATATATATATATATATATATATATTATTCGTTTGTGTATAACAACTACTCTACTTGTTTCGTCCTACTAATAGTGTATATAGATAGT